CTTCTCTTGCTTCTGCTGAGCCCTGGTGCTCTGTCGCAGCTGAGTCATCTCTAGGCATTGTTTTCCAAGTCTCCCTGCTAGACAGTAGCCATCATACGCAGCTGATGTCCGTTCTGGGTGCAGCTGGCAGAGATGGAAATCATGAAAGTTTTTCCCGTGGCAGATCCTTCCCTCCTTCCTGTGCTGCCCTTGTGTCCTCTGATCTGGTCCAGACTGTTGAATCCCTTGCAGAAGTTTTTGGAAAGGACAGCTGTATGGTGGACAGGAGAGGAAAGGGGGTGGGGCGGGAGGGGAGGGGACAGTTTCACTCATGCAAGGTTCCACTTAGCGCATAGTCCAGGGATATTGAATCCCTTTCATCTGATCGCATTTGGGGCTCTGTTCCAGTGGTAGTCATAAGAAAGGACATAAAACTAAAACTACTGGCATATTTTCAGTTAAAACATTAGATATTAGGAGGGTGAGTACCCGGAAGAGGGCCTTCTCTGTGGTGGCGCCCCACTTATGGAATGCGCTCCCCAGAGAGGTCTGCCTGGTGCCGTCCTTATTTGCTTTTTGGCACCAGGCCAAGACCTTTTTATTTAAACGTTATGTTGAATTTATTTATTGATTTTATATTTATGCCAGAAGGTCTCCAGATTTTATTTATTTATTTATTTTAAACATTTCTATGCTGCCCCCATTGCAACAAAGCCTTGGGGCAGCTCACAACAAAAACAAAAACAAACAAATTCATATAAAAATTTTATACACTAAAAATATTAAAACCCGGTGCATCTCAGCTGTATAGTTATGTATTTGTATAGTTATTTATTTGTATTGGAAGCCACCCCGAGGCTTTTGCGAATGGGGCGGCATATAAGTGTTCCATAAGTGTTCCAAATAAATAAATAAATAAATAAATAAATAAAACTTTCACTGCCAGAACTAAACTTTAGGGGAGGCTCTTCAACCTTTTAGAATAGGATAAAAATTGCACAAAATCTGGGAAACCACCAATGGATAAGGGAAAGGACCATGACCTTCTGGAGGACCTGACTGGAATGTCATCTGGCCCGGCTGTGATCCTCAGGCCCTTGGTTCTATGAACCTTCCATATATTAGACATTCACACTCAGGCAGGGCCTGCATTAGTGCAAGCGCAGGAGTCGTTTGCATGCTGATGCCAGAAGGCCTTGCAGCTAATGAACCATTGCACTGTTGCTGAAAACATGCTGCTGTTCTCTTTCTAAAACCTGCTCTTTTGCACTGTGTTTTCCCTTGCTGGCCTGAAATAAAGAAGATGCCTCTGAAATAAAGGTATACCTGTGAATGCAAAGAAACCTGCATCCTGCTCTAGGCATAAAAGAGAAGCAGCTTAAAATGGAATGTTTTCCTTACCGTGAAACGTACCTCTTCCCTTGAAGCCTGATGAAAGCTTTCTATGAGTAATACTGGGGGAAGGGGCAGGAGAGAGGAGACAAAAAACTGAACATGTCCTTTTGGTGAAAAAAGGTACAAAGGTTTACAATCGTCTAAACTCTTCCCCCATGCACAGAATGAGTGATGTGGCCCACAGAGACCTGAGGCTTCACAGCTCTTGATGCCCACATCAAACACGTACCAACTATTGCCAACAGAGGAGATGAACACAGGAAGATGAAGATCAGAAAGCACTTTCAAAATGAAGCATAAAGCATATGCATTAAAGGAGGCAAATTTCAGGCAATATCAATAAGCAATTATTTATTCCTATGTACAGTATCAGTGGGATCGTTAACAAAATGTTGCAAAATGCCACCCGTCAAGCAAATTCTGAATACATTTATTCTTACTGAATAAGCCACCTATCCACGAATTTGTATGTACCTCAAGCTTGTGTGTTCCTCTGAGTTAAGGCCTCTTTACCTGGGAGTAAGATGTCCATAATTTTTTGCTGTGCATGAAAGATATGAGCCCAATTTAAGGGAAGTTGGGTAAGAAATGGATAATAAAGCTTATTCTATCTCACATCTATGTCTTGGTTCTCTGGGGTGACTAGCTGCAATATTATAGAGGTTCTTAATATCTTAAACTAACGCAAAAGTTTGGCTTTTATAAAACCCAGGTTATTGATAATAGTTTGATGGCTGGATCCAGATGTAGATTCATGGAAGACAATAGGATAATTTTGTTATGACTAATTTGTGTCACTGTTTACTGTTTATGGCAAAGTCTGGATCTATCTCAGTGACCCTTACTAAGATTGCCATGCAACAGCCTTCCTGTGGAACCGAATGTTATATCCATTGTATGAGGCAGCAAAGCAATTCATGCCTAGGAAGAAAAAGCCATCAGTGCAGGCTTCCCTTTTAAAAATGTTCTTACTCTAATCTGAAAATATATTTGCTGATTATGGGAGGTAACCTGAGTTTCATTTTCATTCCAAAGCTGTAAAAAAAATTAGTGAAATATGGAGTGCTCTTTCACAAAGGACAAATTGCATTTTAAATATACCGCAGCCCATATGGTATATTTAGGTATCCTTGAGGAAGCTAGGAAGAGAGCCCTGGAGCTTACATTCCATAGCAGGAACATTACCTTTCCAATTAGCTTCATTCCAATTTGGTTCTCTCCCAGGAAGCAAAAGTGTGACAGGAGCTGAACACAACCATTTCTTTTCATCTGTTTTGACAAGGCACATAGTAACTGCACTCCCATGAAGTGAGCATGTGGATTTGAGTTGAAACTGGGGAATGTACAGTTCTGTAGGACTAGGCAGTACCAACACACAAGCTAATTATTGTGAATTTTAAATTGCTGGCAAATTACTACTGAAATCATAATTTCAAAAATGTAGGCTTTATTTGTGAGTTTGTATAACACAATACAAAAGAGTGTAAAGCTATTCCAAACACCATCCCAAACCTATCCTACAGCAAGATATTTGCGCTGCTTAATTTCCAAAACACCATGCAATTGTCTTTTAGGTTTGCATGTCTGAAGTCAATTACACTTCTTTTAGTATGTAAAGACACAGGATGTCCAGGCTAAATCAAGCTGTAGTTAACTGAAGGAGAATGGATGCCTTTAATGATACTGAATAAAACAAAGTATCCCAGGGTCTCTTTTCTTTTCCACCACTATCAGGTGTCTCTTTCCAGCTGCATTTGTTGGATCACAGTCACAATAAGTCTTTGAATTTAATAGCCCTAGCTACTGGAAAGCCTGGGTACTGACAGGTATATTAGAGTTTGGACAGTAAAGGTAGGAAACAATATATGTACACAGGTTGAGCACATTACTGGAACATTTTGCTTGCATGCTCAGTTGGGATAAGTCCTGACATATGACTTACTGAGTAGAGATTTAGATGTAACATAGAAATGAAATGGGAATTTGTAAACTGAAAAGAGCACAAAAATTATATTTAACATATGGTTTAAGAAATATGCTGTAACTGTTAGGACTAGACATCTTCTGGTAATGAAAAGTTAAACTGTATAGAACAAGTCTACATTGAGAGTCAAATTATTTGTCAATTTTAACTCTTATGTGATGATTCTACTATAAATTAGTTAATTGGAACACACAGAAAATGCCTTTGAAACAAAGAGAAGACACTTCTAGAGTCAAAAAAATTAGCTGAAACTTAATATGAAAAACAATCTAATTTTGTTTCTATTAATACTTCATGTTATAAGCATTATCCTTTGCTTGAATAGTAAATCTGCTTTCTAAAAGAAAGTTCTGACTAATTCCAAGAGTTTACACACTGATCTTTCTAGCCTATCTCTTTTGGGTAAATTGACATTATCTAAATAATTTTTTCTTCATAAAAATCAGTGCTCCTATATCAGACAAGATTCGGAAGCAGGGACTTGACAAAAATACAAGGGGCATGTAATATATTGTGCACTGTTATTCCAAAGCACTAGAAAACATAGCTACATTATTTTAAAAGAGAGATACAAGTTAATGAAATGTGGGGTATATGTGCCAGATTATTAGCAATGCAAAAGACCAGCTTGAGCATAAATTCCCTAAATCAATTATAAAAAGAAAAGGTGCCTTGTTAACAAGTATGCACAATGATTAATCACTTGATTTCAGGTGAATAATAAATCAAACATTTACTATCCTTATTCCATCTTACAATAAGGGTGCTACTTGTTTATAAACTTAAACCTTTTACTGCACTTAAAATGTACATCGCATACTGACTGCGTTTGCCCTTCTCTAACCTATGCATTCAATCCATCTTGACAAAAATAGACCATTTTACTTACATGTTTATGAAACAAGATCTGATATGTTATGAATTATTACTTGCAAAGTAATATAGCAAATATTGTTGCCAGAACTGCTAAATACGAGCCTCAGCTGTGCCCATGGATCTGGCAAGAACCTGTTCCAAATCCCATTTTATGACACAGATCTTTGGGCATATTCATCCAAGGCTTTCCTTGCATTCAAAACAATTCCTGTACTGTATTCCATTACCAGCAATGGAGCAGATATTTTGTCTTGGCGTTCCCAAGTCAGTCCAGCACTGTAACTTATTTATGCTCTAACATATTGTATATCCTTACATGTCTTGGCCAAAGGGGTATATACTGACATGAAGACAATGTAATAACACATTGGTTTCTTTTCCCCCAAAGTAATTAGTAATTCAGATTACATCACTATGCAGTCTTGGCTGCATGTCGATGCAAGTTGATCTAGTGAAAAAAAAGGCCATCCTTTGTGAGAAAAAGCAACATAGTTGGCCCAAGAACTGCTCTTCAAGCTCTTGCCATTGAGCCAGTACATTAATGTTTGGCAGTTGTTTTTCCAAAGAAATTAATTGCAGTAGAAAATCTGACAGGGTCTTCCAAACTTGGTAATTATCCATGTGCCACAAGTTTATACAAACCATGGTTTAATTCTCTTCACTAGTCAGTAGCAAGTGTCTAGTGATGGGAGATGGCCAGAAGAAGGATAACTAGATCCCAACTTTTTGTAAGGGTTTCACTGTGCTGCAGAAGACTCATGAGGTGTCATTCACTTATGTCATCTTTTTCTGAAGAAGCAGGACTATCCCGAGCAGGCAGCAGGTCGTAATGGCAGGGAATGTGGCTGTGTTTTGGAAGATCATACAGATCTTGGCTGAAAGGTCCATTGTTATTCAGTGTTCCTTGGATAACACTAACTGTAGGTTCTGCAATTTTAAAAAAATGGTGGTCTGGTATTGGTGGTTGGTAAAGAATCATAACATATAATTTGCACATCTAATAAAAATATAGTCATCTGGTTCATGATGAAAAAAGAATCCAAAATATCCAGTTGGATTATACCTTTACTAGGACCAACCAGCATTCCATAAGGTCGTTGAATTATGGTGGTCCTAATAAAGGTATCGTCCAACCCTGGATTAACAAAAACATGCATCCTAGTCCACTTTTCTTTACATGCAAAGGTCTACGGTCACCCGGGTGGTATTAAGCAATGTGCAGTCATGTTAAAGTGGACTATAAAGTGATTGTAACTCAGTATATATTCATGAGAATACAAGATAACAACATAGTTAAGTGGGTCTTTTCAATATAATAAGAAAGGCTGCTTGATAGAGAAATACAGATGATACAAATGCCTCTTCATTAAGAAAATTTTATTATGCTTTTCACTAACCCTCATTCATCATTTGCAATATAACTATGTTGTTTAACTACTGAACCTGCTACTGATATATTCTTCATTGAAAATGGGATAGCATTATTTCCTAAACACAAGCATTTTTCTTAGATTGTTTTCTTCCATGTTATTAAAACAAGCAAACAAGCAAGCAAATAAACCAGCAGTGTGGATTCTGTATCTGGGAAAGAGGTTCTTTTCAACACAGCAACTAAGATTCAGGGACATAATTGTTCTGACAATGGTTAGTTACAGTCCTGATTTGCTTATGTTCATTTACCTAAAATCATCCCTCCCATTTTTGTGTTTGCTTTTCAGTTTCCCTTGTGAAAAGTTCTTTTAAATTGGGATATGTTGGCAACATACGTGCGGGTATGTGCGGGGATTTCACATGGAGATGGGTAGAGACCTGTTCTCCCCTGCAGAGGAAGGCAGGACGCGCTCCAACGGAGCAAAGTTCAGGGAGCCAAGGTTTCATTTGGATGCCAGGAAGCATTTCCTGACAGTTAGGACCCCGAGGGTGTGGAATGGGCTTCCACGAGAGGTTGTTGAGGCCCCATCGGTGAGGGTGTTCAAGAATAGGCTGGACGTACACATGGTGGGCATGTCGTGAGTGAAGCCGGCTGGTGCCGGAGGTCAGACTAGATGGCCCGGGAGACCCCTTCTGACTCGCTCTGTTTCTGTTTCTATTTCAGAAATGTCTTCAGAATATGTGTTTGTGCCTGGTGGTGGAGACAGACATACTGTTGAAATGCAAGCAAACCTTCAAAAATTCTGCATCCAGTAATGTTCATATTAAATTGGGACTTACCAACTTCATATACATTTTTATTGGTTGAAGCAGAGTTATTAATTTCTGCATAGGCAGAGTCTCTGCGTGCTGGTGACTTCATTTCCACATAACCACATTCTGAATTTTTTGGTGTGAGTGCTGGTGGATCTTTAATAGTAGCATATGGATTTTCAGAGCTACTTAAAGAGCAGTTACTTAAATTGTATTCAGAAGTCTTCATTAGATCTGGAAAAAAGGCATAAAAAGAGTGTCATATTGGTATGATATAAAGAAGAATACATTCCATCGAAATGAAGTGAAATTAAAAGGAAATTAAATGGACAATATTCTAAAACTAAATTATCTTTTTTCCTACCTGACCTTGTATTTGGAGGATTTTGCATTTTAACTTACCCAACAATATATAGTGAAACAAACCAACAAAGAAAATAAAATCCAAAATGTTGCCTTCATTAGTATCTATTGTGTTTCATAATGCCCTGGAAATGGTTGACAGCTCAACACATACATGTTCACACAGTCATACCTCAAAGATCCAGATTACTGAAACAAGGAAGATTCATCTTTGTAGTGTTGTGTGACCAAACAAGTCACTCATGGTAATTAAAGATGGTAACATATGAATCCAACCACATGCAATCCCACTGCAAGTTAATTTAGGGTGAAATCCTATGGATGTTTAGACCAAGAAAATCTCTGGAATCTTCTGCAAGCCACCTAGGGCATGCTGGGACTTGTAAGGCTTTTTCCCTATCTAAACAGGGATAGGACTGTACCTTTAACTACTCCAGAGCAGTGAAGAAAAGTCATAACATACTGAGTTCTTTTTTCCTGCTCAAAACTATTCTGGGCTGAATTCATTTTTTTTCTTCAATGGTGCTTAGGTATTACTTAAAACATTTTAATGAACCTTAATGATGAATTAAGAATTGATATTTTTTCTTGTCTTTTGATTTCTGTATTTGCAAGCTTCAAACCATTACTTTAGGCATGGAGGTGAGACTTTGAGGTCTGACTGTCTGCACACCTGACATTGGAATTAATGATGTTAAAATGAAGTAATGCAATTTAACATATCTGAAAACATTTATGCCTCACTGAATGAGATAGATCCACATGTGTTGTTGTAAGCCGCGCTGAGGCTTCGGCGAATGGGGCAGCATAAAAATGTTTTAATAAATAAAAATAAATAAATAATAAAATGTGTGAACAGACTTGGATATCACCGGCTGGGCTGGAGCCACAGGCATGCATCGGCTGCATATTTGCAGGCATAAGTGAGGTACTGTCCTATTGTATTGCTTTGAATGGGATGGACATTCCTATTCATCATCTGGTGCATCCAGTTCTGTGCTAACTTTCCTGATACATGGCTGAAGCTGGACTGGACATGGAGCATGAAGTGTATGCAATATGCCTGAACATGTTTAAAGATATTTGTTTTCCCTTTATATGTGAAATGTTCCTAGCAGAGTGGCTAGCCTACAGATGTTCCTACATAGGAGATGTTCAGAACTGGCAATTCTGAATGTTTTTTCTATCAGTTCAAATGTTAGGAATAATGAAACAGATAAGAAAAAACTGTGATGAATGCACCTTTAATGGGATGTAAATAAATTTGACCTATTCTGACTTCATTGTTCTTTTAACCCACTCTGTCAGAAACGGTATGGGCTTCTGAGTACACTTACTCAGATCAGGGGCTCCAGGATCTGTTACTGGACACCCAATACATTCACACTTTTGCAAAAAATATAAACTAACCTTTCAGAGATTTGCCCGTACAACCTCTGTCAATTCCAAAAGCCCCTAAAAATAATGGAGAGAGACACAGTTAAAGCTTTGAGAAACAGAAGACACACATTAATTTCTTGCAACAGCAATTTTGGCAACCTCTTGTATTGTAACACATTGTTGACTAGCAAGTCTTAATACACTGACAGCTTTTTCATGGCAACTACACTATGCATAGCTGCCCATATTAAGAACTTGTGTTACATGTAAGCTAGCTATGCACCTAGTAAGAGGATGTGTAACATGTAACATGGGCATTCCCAGAATCCATTCTGCTCAAGTTGAGCAAGGAGAGCATTTTGCTTGGAGAGAATTATCATGGTCCTCTCCTTGAAAAGAAGGTAGCACACATTGCTCCCTTTCCCATAACAGTTACAGTGCCATATGCAACACATTCAATATTTAATGTGTGTTTTATTTTTGTACCAAGCTCATTGAGGTAGCCTCCATGCTTCCAGTCAGCAGGCAATGTTCCCGTATAGTCCATGACAGGGCCTCGCTTTGCAGGGTCCATGTTCTTAAGATTCACAAAGAGTTGATTGTTGTTTGTCTATTTTAGATAAAGACAGATGGCACATAGTGAAGCCAGCATCTGTTTGATAGTATGTGTCAAAGAGAGCAACTGCATAGCACAAATAGAATGTATGACAGCCTGCACATGTAAAATACTAAAGTAGTAACATTTCCATGCATTCAGCCCGCTGTCTTTTTACCTTTGCCACAGTGATCCTGTCCAGGTTGTTGGCATTTGCTGAGTTTGAGCATTGTGTTAGAGTATGATAGCTTGGGTTGGAGAAGTAGTGACTATTAGCATTCCCACCATTGCTGTGAGGAATGGTTTCTGAGAAGAAAGAGGATGAAAAGTGGGTGCTATACCATTGCTTGGTCTAGACTTATTCCCTCAAGATTCAAACAAACAAACAGGATTGACACAACCAATATCAGTTGTTTTCCTAAAATGCATTTCAACAAGTTGGTCTTGTCTCTTCCTCTATAAGAGAGAAGCAAGTGTTCTGATTTGTTTTTATTTAGCTAATTCCACTGCATATCTTACATCTCTGCATGTCCCACCTCTTTTTCCTCAGTTGTTCTTAATATTAGTGATAGTCATCTGCTTGGATGTTTCACCAACAGGTTGGTTTGCACAATCAAAATAAGCATGCCTACCATGATTTTAATAAGTTTCAAGCCATGGTGGCTTATTCCGATTGTGATAACCAGTGCTTTAAATTTAGCATCAGCAAAGGCAAATATAGTGTCTACTTTCCCCCCAACACTTTTTATGGACCAAAGAGATACTACACTGGCTCCCTGCTAACCAAGGTGCTCTCTGGTTAGCAAATTGAGAGACAGTCTCAAGAATACTCCCTGTAGTAAATCTTGTCTTTTGCCTCCTTTAAAGATAGTTAAGAGGTTTATTGGCAGGAATGTTAACCATGCTTCAGATCAAACTGATTTTCCATTAGCCAGAATCTGAAACAGCAGATTGAAGTGACTCTGTGAATAAACCTGAAGGGATATTGCTTAAATGGCCATATTAGCTACCTGCTTATACATGAAAAGTACCACTAAGAACTGCCAATTAACAGACAAATGGTGCTTCTGTCTTAGAGACTTCAGCTATAAAAGTCTGCATTGATGGAAACAGGTGAAAGTGCAAATAGTGGCTAAACTACCACCAAGTTGTAATACTTCCCAACAGCAAAAGCCCCCACTAACTCCCTACACGTGCATGAAAATATATAGAACATACATCTTATAATGCTAAACATGATATATAAAATAGTTGCAGAAGTCATAGTAGACAAAGATTGTCCTTTGCTAAAGTTACAGCTTAAGAATAAGGTTCAGAATTATGTGTCATTACCTGAAACAGTATAGTCTGTGTTGATGACCCTCATGGCAGGTGTATAGGTAACTGCTGGCATATTTGTTTCTTTCACCTTCTGTTTTTGTCTATAAATGATGAATAGTGCTAGCAAGAAGAGGACAACAAGGACGAGAATAATGATGCCAGCAATGGCTCCAATCTGGTAAGAATCAGCAGGCATTGCAGCACTAGTGCGGCTTAAGCTGTTCAAATTTCCCACTATGATTACCCCAGCTGGAAAACAAGAGTTATGGAAATCCAGTCCATAAGTGCTCTGCACAAATGCAATCTAGAATACATAAAATTCAGTTTTAAAAGTAGACATCATATAAGTATAATTTAAATGCATCTAAAAACATGTTAGAAGACAAGACAACTGGTATCTTATTTCCAGCCGGAGTGCGAGAAATTATGCTTTAAAGTCTACATGATAATAAATTAGAGCAGTGAGGCATACGTCTGTTAATTTGTTCTGGACTTCTTAAAAAGGCACTTGATTTATGCTGAATGCTTTTTACAATCTGCAGTACTTTTTAATTTTAAGAGTTCTGGAAAATTTTGGACTTTTTCCTTTTTTTTCTTTGAAGTAACTGCGACTTGACATTTAAGAAAAGTTCTGATGCTTCTAGATTTTCAAATTTTAGATTCTTGATATTTACTGCACCATCTTAGCTATACAGTTTTCCAACCATACCATATTAGTCACTTATACATCTGTTTTTTAAATTCAAAATGTTTTAAAACTAAATATAATGTTTTGTCCCTGAAGCAAATATATTATTTAAAATCAATACAATACAATATAAACTTTTTTTTTGTAAAACTTGTTGGATTTCAAAAGTTACAACATAGAAAAATGTATAGCAACATATAAAGTGCCATGTGGAATTAAGAGGTTTAGGAGGCACAACCTTTCCTTTACATTAGTTAGTCAAGTTGCCAGTCAACTTTCTTCCCAAGATACTTGGACATGTTCCTAGAGCATGCCCATAGGCAATAGTTAGGTTGCAATCCTAAACACGCCTAGTTGGGAGTAAGTCCAATTAAAACACAAGAGTCAATATTTATTAAACAAGCATAAGATTACACATGTTACTAATAATATGCATAATGAAACCGGTCCCATTGAACACAGTGTGAATGACATTTGAGTAAATATGCACAGGATTGCAGTGTAAAGAGCCAGTATGGTATACTGATTATACTGCTGGACTGGAACTAAGTAGTTACAGATTCTAATTTCCATTGGCTTTGAAGCTCGCTGGGTGACTTTGGCACTCTCGGCCCAAGCTACCTCGTGGGGTTGTAATGAGGTCAAAGTGCAAAGGGAGGGGAGGGCAGAGGGAGAGGTTCCTTGCAGGAAAAAGGCAGGATAAAAAATGAGAGAGAGAGAGAGAGAGAGAGAGAGAGAGAGAGAGAGAGAGAGAGAGAATATGAGAGAGAGAGGTATTAATACCATGTTCCAGCATTCTAGTATGGCCACATTTTGATCAGAGGACTGAACTAGAAAGATATGAGGATTTGTATTCTCCTAAATTTATCCAAACAATTACACTGTGCATAGTTTTTTTTCACTGTTGGTTATGATCTTGCATATACATTAGCATTTCTAATTCATGTTTAATTTGGCATTTAAGGAAGATAATACCTTGGTCACATCTTGCTCCTTTCCAACCAGGACTGCAGTAACAGGTTCCAGTGATGTGGTCACAAGTGGAGTTGTTCAGACAATCACATATTTGCCGGCAGCCATATCCATATGTACCCTGGGGACACTCTATGAAACAATAAGCATCCCCTGTAGAATTTATCTTTTAACCTGGTCAAGACTGTAGACATTCCTCAATGTCACCTTGTGGCCAGAATCTAGTTAAGTAGAAGTGTGTGCAATCGGGCTATCCTATTGTCACCTATGGACAACGGAGTCACACTATATTAACAGAATGTTGCTGTTCCATAGCTAATTAGATGAGTCTCAACTATTTGAAGTTGTCTGAACCAACTCCAATGAACAAAACTCCGAAAGACTGTTAGGATATGGAACAAGCAAGGAATCTGACACCAGTCCCTGTGTATACCACTTCGGGATAAATTTGACATATATAGCTCATTTGAAAGTGTGGGGCATGTGAGTGTGTATTACTGAAGCAAACTCACTGTTGAATTGTGTGCTCTTTGTCGATGATTTTTGTGTATTACCACGAGGTGGCAATGTTTCATTAGGCTATAAGGAATCTATCACTTGCAATCTAATGGGTTTAAAGTATGTTCATAAATAGAAGCTAACTGCAGTTTAAACATAAAGGCTTGTAAGATGCATCGTTTATCCAAGAACAGGTAAATGACTGTTCTTATAAATCCTTACTGAAACTCTGGGTGGCTTGGAGACTGCATGGAGGATAGAAGTCCAAACACAACCTCTCCAATTTTTCTTGGACTGTTGAGTTCCAGAAAAGTTAATGTAGGTGAAAATGCAGTGCAATCTCGCAGCTATTGATGGTAAAACACTTTGTGCTGAAAATGCACATTTTAAAGCATAACTGTTTGTCATAATATATACCAAGTTTTGTGTGAGTGTGAAAAACCACTCAGTAAGTTCTGATTTCCTTGAGCATTTCTTCTTAAATATATGAAAGAAAACTGTTTCCACCTTACTCTGTTCACAGTGTTTCCCCATGAAGCCTGTGCGACATGTACACTGCCCTGAGATGTGATCACAGTCGGCTCCGTTCTGACACTGGCAGATTAATGCACAGTCCTTTCCATAAAAACCCAAAGGGCATCCTATAATGGAAAGGAAGGGGGGAAAATAAAGCAGCCTCTTGTTGTTTTTAATAATGTGTCAAATGCTTTCACAACATGCAGATTAGCATAAATGATTTGTATTTTCCAACATTCAGATTTCTTAAGCTAAGCAAGATATAAGCCTTGACAAGCTTGAAAATGATTATAGGGAAATAGCAATAATTTTACTTGAAAAGTATATTGAAAGAAGTAAGATTTACAGCAGAATCCCAAGGATGTTTACTCAGGAGAAGTATCACTGCATTTAATGGACCATAATCCCAAATAAGTGTGCACAGAGCTGTGCTGGAAATCTGACTTCTTCCATTAGACTTTTAATGAAATCCATTAGAGTTTCGAGCAGAAAAAGACAGGCGAGGCTGCTGAATAATGAACAGATCTTTGCATATATATTTTGCACAGAAGATCATGAGGCAAAGAATCTTGATTCATGCAACACTGAGCAGTTATATTACTCTCCTTCTTCCTAGCATTATGGAGTTTGCTCTTTGAAAGAAAAAGGTTATGCTATTATTACAGTGATGGGTTAAGGGTGTTCGGTGGCTGAAGCCCTTCTATTGGTAAGAAGGACACCTGTAGAACATCTACATACTCAGTCCTGCCAAGGGAATTCTTCAGCAGTTGTTCCAAAGGCAGCCCTTGCAAATGAAATTAAAAACGAAATACCTTATTTCAGTACATATGCATTGGCACTTGTTGACTATCTCCTGAATGCATGAACAAATTCTCCTCCTCTGACCAAACATAAAGTAAGCTAAAAGGGAACATATATTTTTCTGGCTCCCCACAGGGAAGCCAATACTCATGCTTCCACACTGCTAAATACTTATTACAGGCAGCTGCATAATATAATATTTATGTAAAGATAAGGAAGAACTCACTTTGTGTGCAGTAGAGCCCAGTCCAGCCTGGGGTGCATTTACACTCCCCATCATAAGCACTACAGCGAGCTCCATTGTGGCAATTGCAAGTATGGATACAATTTGGGCCCCAGTGGGAAGGAGGGCAAGCTGGAATCATCAAAATAAATCAGTTAGAACCTGTGACAAATCACAGCCCTATGCACAGCCCTATGCTTTTCCACAGCACAGGCTTGATGGAAAATTCCAGAAAGATGGCTTCTATTGCATCTTCCCTTTGGAGTAAGAAAAAAGACCATGTGGTGGAAAAATATAGGACAGTTATACATGGACAATGATGTCATCTGGATGTCCTATAAAATTCTGTGAATAGAACAGGACAATTGTACAATGAAACCTTGCCTGGAAGCACTCCTGGCCAGGTTTTCTGATTTTCATCACATAAATGGTAATAAAAGTATATACGATATAAGGAATTTTTCATTTAAGCTGAGTTTATTATACTTTTACAACTGACATGCCTCATCTCTCAATGTGAATGTTGGAATTTAAGAACATGCAAAATAAAAGTACTTTAAACATTAGCTGTGTTCAACTTTATCATTATTGCAATATATGATATCAATCTTAAATAATGTTACAGTGGATTCTTTTTGCCTGTAAATTGTATTCATGTTACATTCTACTCATTAAGGTACAAAGTTATGTGTACCAATTATGGACTGAAAAAGTAAGTAAAATAAGGAAAAGTAAGGAAAATATGGAAACTTCCCATTAATTTCTTTCTATCTCACAAAGTACCATGGTAAAACCAATATGACTGCTTTAGCCAGATAAATCTTCATATCTAGAAGATTTTTAGAAGATCAATGCATAATACTGCAATACCCTTTGTGGTAGTATCCCCATGTATCCATAGACATTAACCATAGACACTTGGTGATATTCCCAGGTATCCAAGGATGTTAAGCAAACAGCATGCTGAACAAAAACAACATTTTGAATTTTTTGGTCATTTTGAGAATACCCCATACCCCCTCACACACAAATGTTATCATTGCTGCAAGACCAGTGTTGCCTTGAATTCACAGGGAATCTTAAGAATTGTTTTAGTAAGTTGATACACTAGGATTAAAGTGTGAATCAGTCAATCAGATTCTTATGCTCCCACAAGAAGATGGCCTATAGCTGTTCCCATCTTTGTTCTCCAGGGAACATGTGGCCTTCAGATTCATTTTTAGGAAATGGAAGTGGTGGATAGCTGCAGAATGCTGTTTTCATCTACAGTGCACCCATTTTGTGGTGATGTCAGAGACCACAAATTTCAAATGGCCAAATGTGTCCACGGATATAAAAAGCCATGCCTACCCCTTCCCTAAAACATCCTTGCACTCCCTTTTTATAACCTGACCATCACTGAGGAGGAAGGAGGTTATCTCATGGTTCCAGCATGTGTCCCTCCCTGTGCCCAACCCTAGCAAGATATGAGGAGAGGGGAGAATGGAGATCTGTGTGAAGAGGAAAGGGTTCCCAGTCTTCTCAGGAATCATTCCTATTTGGTTTATTAGGACATTCTGTAGGATGGGTGGACAGGCCAATTGCCATCCTCTCTTTTCTCCTACATTTCTGCTCTTGCCGTGTCATTAACCAAAAAAGTAAAGGGAAGTGGAGATGGACATTTTGGAGAATGGGTGAACTGGTGCGGAAGGAGGCTGTTTTCTGAGCCAGAAGTTTGGCTTTGGAAATTATCCTTCTGATTTTGGGGGATAATAGCCTCAGATAGTGACCAGATTAGTTTGAAGGAAGCAGGGAGAGCTTACTCATGAATACACAATACCAGTTGACAAGAAGAATTAGAAGAACTGCAGAAACAGGAGGCACAGGTTTTGCTGATCTCGTTTTTACACACAATGTTTCATCATATGTTGTTTACCTTTTGGTGTCCAGTGCTCCAAAATCTCCATACTAGAATATGGAGTGGTATAAAAATCTTGAAAACAATAAATACACAACCAATGCTTGCAAAAATTACCCAAGCACATCTGTGTTTGGAATAAATGTGCAGCCATGTTCTCCACAACATAATGTGATGTTTCAAATTCAAATATCTGAAGTGGTACTCTAACCAATGCATTCTCGGGCTATGATGCTATCTAAAGTCGCAGTGATTGTGTTCAGATAATCTATTTAATGCTGCACCATGGTGTGTTTGATCATACAAAATAATCCATGGCGTGTTTCATCATACAAAACTGTGAACAACTGTGATATAACACAGTTGGAAATACTGCTCATCTGAATCTCCAGTTACACTCTAAACACATTACCAAAACGCATTTGCACAAAATCCTTCATAAGAAGGATTTGCTGAGGTTAAGCTCACAAGTTTTGCCTGAGGACTATTTTATGTTTCAGTACACTAATCAATATCTCTTTCCATGTTATAGATCATTATCTATATGACAATACAGAAAACAACCATCAAGTACATGTTTTCAGATTTGTTTGTTGACAATCTCAGACAACACAACTGCAAAATGGGAATATTTAGAAAAAAATGATAGTTTATGCATTACTTGAGGACTGTCTATGGCTCAAATACTGAATATTTTAGAATTTAGCAACTAGAAAGAATATGATCAAGATTTGTTAGTCTGGATCTAATTCTTTTTCTCCAAATCTTCTAATGCAATTATTATTTATGGCCAAGAGCTTTTATGGAGAAAATCCAGTGACTTAAAACGAATAAGAACTGACAATTCACACACAGAGAAATCTTTAAGAGACTTTACAGAGGTCATTTTAAAGTTATGAGGTCACTACTTTTGACAATAACTCTAGACCTTTACACAATACAGATAATACTCCCTTTTCCTAATCTAAAGATCAGGCATAGTAGACTTCTCTTTACATTCTACTGGCTCACTTTTTCCCACAGCCCTATTTCCATGGTTCATTATAAGAAACTAGCAGAACAAAAATCATTATTCAGCAACAAACTATTCAGAGAATTATTAAGCTAAATCAATAGTTTTAAAAATATGCTAGCGTTTCAGTTACAGATTTACTAAGGTAAAAAGACAAAGCATTAATTTCTGGGAATATAACTGAAATAATTAACATAAACATTTTGATATTGCATTTAGAACTTAAAAAAAAAGATATTTTTAAATGTTTCTCTTTAAACTAACAAACAGAATGAAATATCCAACCCTGCTTTAGTCATACATAAATATATATTATAAACAATGCAGTGAAAATTGACAAACTTAGTGATAAGGTAATAAAATAGATGTTAATTTCTTAAAAGTTTTCTGCAAGAACTAGATGTTGTAAAATGATGGGATACATCCAGTTTACCTGTTAGTTAAATAATGAGTGAAGGAAACCAATGAAGCATATCAGAAGAAGTTGATACTCCTAGGAGGGAGATCCGGAAACATACTAGATTTTCTACTTCTCTGGTTCTTGCATATTACTGAAACATTTGCTCAAAATTTGCATGTAAACCAAGGATGGGGAGTGCCGTAGTCAGCATAACCAACAGCCAGGGATGAAGGGAGTCAGAGACCAACCACAACAGGAGGGTCACAACTTCCCATTCCTGATGTGAACCCTGAGCGAGACTAGCCTATCAACAGCTTGCAGGCAGTTCTGATTTTATCAAAACAGCCCATCCTGGGTTTTTTAAACCAGGATGAGCTGTGGCACATACTGATGCATGCTGGATGGTGCTCTGAATATGAATCTTCTGCCAAGGACTGTTGTTATCATGCAAACGAGATGATTGTGGGTTATATGAGGGTTATGTAAACCTCACATAAACCATGATCTCTTGTAGGGTTACTGCTTAGAGAAGAATTTAACACTTCCTAGTGAAAACTATGCAAACAACAGCATTGTGAAGTCTGAATTTTCCCAAAGTGAAATTGCTATTCAAATCCCATAAAGCCAGTTTTAATGCTCTGCTTGAAATGAAAATATAAAGAATTCCATTACCCTTGTACCCCTTACCATTTTTAGTTAAAAAGTATGTCCTCAGAATCTAGGAGAAAATTAACATAAATGAACTGAAGTTAATTTTTTGACAAAATTTCTGAGCAAAGAAAATATTAGTACTTACGCTGAGAACAGTCACTCCCAATCCAGCCAGGATAACATTGACAAGATCTGTCAATTGGATTACAAGTTCCATTATTGGTGCAGGTGCAAATTCCTGCACAATTCTTCCCGAATCTTCCACTGGGACAGACTGTGAAAAAGCAATTTAAGAAGTCATGAGTAATATTCACTTCATAACTTGTTTAGCTTGATGCTATTCCTTTTTGTTTCATCGTTACAATGTTGTTATACCAGAGAGATGGCCATGAAATAGTGAGAAAGTGGTCCTAAGACAGCTGCTGACTTGGTGGCGGACTGCCAGTTTCTTCTCTATTCCTCTTGGGTTTTGTTCTTCTTTCCTTTCCTTTGGCCTTTGCTTCTCTTACCTCTCCTTCTCTTGGTCTTCATATGCAACTGTCCTTCAGGTTTCTTTTGCTTTTCTAAACCTCTCAGCTGATGCTGCTCAAGCCACCCTCTCTTTCTCCTTCCTCTTGTGCCCTGCTTCCCACATTGCTCTTTTCCTTAGACCCCTTCCATCTGTGTCTTTCTATAAGATATAAACAACTTGTCACCTCTCCAGATGTTTTGGCCTACAATTCCTATCAGCCTTACCTAGCATGGCCAATTGAAAGGAAGATTTGGAATCCTAGGCCACAAAAAGCTAAAGGTCTACAGATTGTCTGTTCCTTTTTTATATCCTGTCTCTGTATCGTTTAGGAGATCAGGCACCAGTTTGCCTGGTACTCATTTATCTTTATTCTAACTCATTCTCTAACCCTTTTCCAAGGTCATTCAAACACAGGTGTTTCCCAATTCAATTTTTCTGAGCTCCCAGTATACTGATTAACTCTCATTTTTCTACTAAAGTGCTGCTCATGTATTTCCATGATCGTCATGTACATGCCCACATGCCTAGGATAGTGAGTTACACCTGAACGCTTGGGGAAAGAAGAAAGAATGTTCCTTTGATTTTCACACAGAACTCCTCCCAATTTTTTCCCATCTCCAAATAAGTCAGCAGACCCTAGTAGTTGTTGGGTGGGTTCTTTTTAACCATGTTTCAATGCTTTGTCACTGCTGGAGGATGAAATTATGCAAATATTGTGAGAAGAGCGACAGAACTAGTGTGCTGGCTAGTAATTCAAACCACAGAATGCCAGATATCTAGGGTAATGGCCTCTAAGATCCTTACAGTGTAAAAGCCTTTGAGGGCAACATTTCTCTGAAGTGAAAGACAACAAAGGAACCAAATTAAATGTGAATTGCTTTCATATGACTCTGGTATTTCCCCCCATCCAAGCCAGCACATGTGACGGCAGAAAAATGCCGTCACAGATTAGAAAACCATCACCATGTATATATCACAATGCACAACTACATGCTACATTTTAAATGACATACTTTAAAAATGCATCTTTAAATAAAGCATAGCTACAAATTATTTAGTATTCTGTGGCTATACTCTGATATGTACAATTCATATCGCATATACATACTATACAAACATGCATTCTTATCAACAAGGTTTTTAAGGTGTATCCAGAAAGAATAACTCATTCAAGCTTATTTTCTAAAGTTAACAATAGAATAAAAAATAGAATAGAATAAAAAGTTCGCAAGTGGGCACCCATAAGCCCTACAATGGCTTTGCCTGCAAATAGGAAAAAGGGAGAACACATCGTATGTATTATCAGATCCTGTTACAAAGTGTACCTTCATTGCAAAGCGCCCCTGTGAAACCAGGTAAACAGTCGCACAGCCCTGTCACATGGTGGCACGGACCACTGCTGTGCACACACTGGGGACACGCCTGACTGCAGCGATGGCCATAGAATCCAGGAGAGCAAACTGGAAGCAAAAAGAGGTCACCTGAGAGTTACCTAGGAAGACATCTGAGAATTCCACCAACACCTTAAGCCAAATAGATCTGTGATTTAAACTGGAGTTTAAAAGACACGTATTGAAGTTTATCCAAAATAATTGTATCATGGTAATTGCAATTATTATCCCTTTACCTTGTACTGAATCATCGCCATCATTATGCCATCATTTTCTATGACTGTCCGTAGTGTAACATTTCTCTCTCTAGCTAGACAAAAATGAATCACTGTAACCTGGCACTTCCCGACAGAATGCAACATAGAGGACTTTTTCCAACGCAAGGGCAATCCAAGTGCAGACAGCTACTCACGGCTGCTTGTTTTTATTCAACTCATGATTTAAAGAAGAAAGCACTTCAATTCATTTTTATGCCAAATACACTAACCCATTCTTCTTCACAGATATATCACCATTTGGATTGACAGAGAAAGAAAGAAGCTGTTGGGCAGAATTTCTCTTTTTACATCACTCCCCTCTTCTGGCATTTCTTTCATGACAAATTAGTATATTAAGCAATACTTCAAGTTAAGTGCCTGTTGTCAAGCAGCAATTAACATTTACAAAGCTAACTTTTTTGCCTTTAAATTATATGAGTCATTTAGAAGTGAGCCAGCTTGAATCAGGTTGCCTGAGCAAAGAAATAGAAAAAAGAAAACTCTCAACCACAAATACATATTTAAGAGCGATTTGTTTTTTTCAGTAACATTGGGGGTCTGTCATCATATCCTTCTCATTTCTTAAACTTCAGGCTGTTTGCATGCATCTAGCTCTGCTTGCCTTCTTAGATGCTGCAATATCTTGAAGATGCTAATTCCTACAAGACTGATTTCAGCTTTATATTGGGAAGAGCTACTGTTTCCATACTATGCTATTACGTTATATTTTATCTGTGGTTCCTCTACATTAACTGAATGATTAACTCTGAAGCAGTTATCGATAATGACACTTGCAGCCAACTTAAGAAACAATCCATCAAGGACTACTGCTGTGCAGCTTAACTCAATTTCAATAAGGTTTTGACGGAATGTGGCTTGATAGACAGCATATGACCAGACAGCTCACCTTGAGCCAACCAGATCACTGTGTGTTATTAACTGAGGAATCTCTCTGTGTGTGGTGGGCCCTACATTGGGGAAAGCTGAAGTAAATGCCAATTTGGTGCTTTTTTCCTTAAATTATGTTTCCTATTAGCCTTGCAACTAAAAGCCAAGGTGAATAATATGTCTCTGCATGAAAGGTGCCAAAACCACTTCCACAAGGTTCATCCAAATTGTTTAGCAAGTCTCCATGCCAGTTTTATCATGCCACAAGCATGAAATACTGATGTACGTACTACTTATAAACAGGGTTGATCCATGTGGTCAATAAGTTAGAAGTGCAATAGCCCCAGCACTGAATGGCTGACAAAGAAAAGCATTTCTATTTTCAGCAACTTCCACATGAGTGTTGTAATGATTGAATCAGTCCTAACTTGTTTACCCTGTTCTGTTTTCTATGAGTATATATGCATTTGCTTTCTCACTTAGACTCTAGTCTTGTTGAACATGGGGCTTAAGTGATAGTATACACCTTTACAGTGTAGATTAAATTTACAAATTACATGATAAGAAGAAGAAAGAGATTGCTACTGGAACTTTTTTTATTAGAGATTGGAAAAGCCCATTTAAGTAAGAATGACAACAAAACATTAAAAATTGAAGGCAGTCTCCAAGTCTGCTGTACAAAGCAACCATTCGGTATTGTAATATAATTGCATTAAAGAATAGGAGACTTTCAAGCTTACTTCTTTGGCAAGTAGTGCCTCTGTACCCAGGTGCACATTCACAAATTCCTTCATCTGGAGAACATGATGCTCCATTTTTACAGTAACAGGACAATGAACAATTTGGACCCCAGTGTCCTTCGGCACATACACTGTCACAACGCATACCTGCAAAGAATTGACAGAGCTGTCACTGAAACTTCACAAATCATACAAGGCTGTTAATGGGCAAGTCAACACTACACTGGCACAAGAAAGGAATATGGAAGCTGAGGATAACATCCAGCTGAAGTCCCCCTTACAAGCACAGACACTTAAAGGAATGGGACTTAAATTAGTCTTGAGTCATGACTGTCCTAAGGCAGTCAGTCAGACACTTCAGTGGATTGACTCTACCTAGGACTTATGTTGGATTTTACCTGTACAGGGGCATCATTCATTATATATGAAGTCATGTTCCACATGTTTTTGGGCACTGAGAGTAAGGACTGGACTATATTTGACAATGGTAATGCAGAGTGCCTGTGTGTTCTTATGTTTGAAAGGCTGCCAAAGGAATGTCCTTTATTTCCAAGCATCCTCTATTTGAAAGTCTGCCTCATCCAAGCCCAGTTTATAGATGAAGGGCCATCAGAAGGAATTGCTGGGAATCAAGCAATGAGGTACACAGGTGCCCTGGCCATAACTTCCCACTATGGGGAGACATGCAATATGTTTTGTATTTAAATTATAATAATGTCTAAATTTGCATCTCTCTATATAGCTCAGCATATGTAAATATTATGCAAATCACACATTCTTTTTCCATTATTTGTAGTGGAAAACCACACTTTTTTGCTTAAAAAGCTAAGACTCTCTATCCTCTATTTCACTGCCAGGGCAGACTTGGATTCTAACAAACAGTCCTCACGGGGACCTATGGCAAACCTAACAAGACAAAAATGTGACCCAGAGAAGTTTGGCACGTTTTATTACATTGCTCAATTACAGATGAATAGATTCAAGATGGTTATTTTTATGAGACTGAAATTACCAAGCCCTCTTGCCCCAGACTTCAGAAGTAGGATGTGATTGAGTAATGTCATATAACCTTTGGAAGAAATAAGTAACTTTTTTTCAGTTTTGGTTACTGCATCATAAATTCAGTGGTTATAAAATAAGAATAAACAGAATAAAATTTTCTGAGGTTTTCCCCCTTTGGACAGTCAGGTAAAATGTGTGCATGCCATAATGTGTTTCAGTCCTGCTCAGCTTTTTCAATGTGAGGAGTTTACAGTTTGATCAAAACAATTTAAAACTAACTTCTGTTTTCAAAACTTCCCAGTGGAATAGTCAGGTCTTATGCTCCAATCATTACAAAGAGGTTGGGTGTCTTCCCTCACATTCACAAAATTGAGGTTATTATCTATATGTCATTAACATCATGGCTAGATAGAATTTTTGAAGGAGTTCTTACATAAATAAAGTGTTAAAATATGTATTTCATCATGACAAAGTAAGATCACCCAAATTATAAATTAATGAATGTTTGCTAACTGATTGAAAGGCAGACAATAATACACCTATTTTTAGAAAGAGATAGCTAGGAATCATGAACTTATGAGCCAGACTTCTGTAATAGTTAAAAACATAGTTAAAAATAGAATCATGAAATCTGTAGAAGGAGAAGCCTTTTTCCTATTGATCCAGTTTTCTTTCAAAAAGACACTCAAAGTAGTTTATGACCACTAATAAAATGCAATAAGAACAATAACAAATACATTAAACAAAATTTTAAAAAACCAATAATGACAGAGTAAATGCAGGATCAGCCAGCAAACCTGCCTTCAGACCAAAGGCCAACTGGAACAAAATAGGTTTGCTTGCTGGTGGGAGGATAGCACAGAGCAAGTGAACCGAGCCTTGGCAGAGGTTCCACAGACACCAAAGGGCCCTCTTTCCCCTTGTCTTGAAACTGTGGCTGTGTCTACGAAGGCAAAAGAAGGATCTCTCTACAAGAGCTTAAGAACCAGGCATGCTTATATGGGATGCATAGATATTTAAAGTAGAACTAGCAGTTGCAGCACATCTTTGAGAGCTGGCCAGTCCTCAGTAGGTCTCATGTAGAGGAGAAAGTTACCATGGATTCCATAAAGAAAGAGTCACACACATGGAGACCAGCCCAAAGACAAAACAAGTCTAGCATCCAGAGCCATCAGACAAGCAGGAAGTGGAAATTGGTACAGTGGCCACCATATATTTTCATGACACCAGCAATAAAGCCCAGGTCTCTATGTTGGGCTATGTGCTAGCAAAATCTAGTCCCATTACTTGAATAACTTAATTATTTAATCACTGAAAGGCAAAATGTATAAATTTGCATGGACTTTAGAAGTAAAACCAGGAGAAGCAGGGAAGTGGAGTTCTCAGGTTCTTACCAAGTTCTCTGGTTATGTTATTATTATTATCATCATCATCATTATCCATGATTTGAACACAGGATGGCTGTGTAGTCTCATTTATTTATTTATTTATTTATTTATTTTATTCATATCTTGCTATTTTTCTCGCAAGGAACCCAATGTGGCTTAAGTAATCCTCATCTGCATTTTTTGTCAGAACAACCCTGCAAAGTAGGTAAGGTGGTTATTCAGGATGGGCAATATGGCAGGATAGGGTCTTGAACTCAGGTCTCCCAAGTCCTAGCTTACACCTGCAACCTCTATTCTTCACTAACTATTTATAGAGGATAAACTTTTGTAAAAGCATGCTCTGGCAGCCTTGAAGGTATCACTCATTCGAAGAGCTAACCTATCTAACAACAGTGCAAAAAATAAAGGAGAAGCGATAGGTGCAGGCAGTCACGTCCTGCTGATGAGCAATCAGATTGTTAGGAGCAGAACAGTGAACTAGACAAAACTTGTTTTACTTCCAGAAAGGGAGTCTTTTTTTTTTTCCTTATGAGTCTCTATTCCAGTCATTCTGGAAAACACAAAGTTCAGTTTTGGCTTATTTCCTCATTTTGTAAGGCAATGCATACTGAAGAAGCTCATTTCTGTTTTAATGAGTGGAAGCTGATTATTTCTTCATTTCATGCCAAAGCAAAAAAAGCATAGCACAGCAAAGTTCCAAAATGCTTTGCCATGCTAAGAATATTGGCCATAAAAAGGTTTCTTCTGATCACCTGAAGCAAAAGAATATACACTACAGGGAGAATTCCAGTGTATGAACAGTCAGGAAAAAAAAGAAAGAACTAAACCACCAGCTGCTCATTTCTCTTTTAACAGTAAATTTCTTGATACCTTTTCATGGCTGTTCTTGCTTCTAAAAAGTCCTCTTTCGTGTCAAACACTAGCAGGCATCCACTTGGCTCTCAGACTTTATTGTGGCTCCAGTGCTTTCTGTTATCAATTGACTATTATAAGAGTTCAAGTAATGAATGACTCATCCAGAAGAATGACTTGCTGTGTAAGATATTTCATGCAAAATATGCTTCAGGTCCGCTTCCTATCGGATGTCCTGAAGGCAAATTTAACAAAATAGGCTTTGGGGTTTTGTACGAAAAATCTTTCTTAAGCACCCCAGACTGAATGTTTTGCGAGTCTGCAGAAGAACTGGGGCTGTCTGTCAACAGAGACAATTAATTACATTGTCTTTCCATAAAATGAGTGGCCTTGTCCACCTACTCTCTGGGGTGACTCTTGTTTGGGAAATATCTCTTCCTAGCTGGGAGAAAGGTGCAAATCTTTGCATTTCAAACCTTTCTACGGACTTAAGCCTGTCAGAGAAATAAACACAGAGCGTGCGATAGTGAAAAATGCCTCACAATGAAATTTGACAAGAACTCAACAACTAATTTTACACAGGATACTGAACAACCATAAAGGGACTGCTTTTCCTGAATGAATGCAAATTTGAATGGAATTTGAACTGACCGCCAAGAAACAAGAAAACCTTGTTATACCATCAACATCTTACAAGCCAATTTTTGTCTGCCTAGCTCACCACGTTTTCTGTAGCAAGACACAAAGTAACTTATTTTTCGACAGCTTGGAACAGTTTTCCTCGACTTGAAACCTAAACAAAGTCACCCACATTTGCATCTGAATGTGAGAGAGATGCACAGAGATCTCTGATTCGATGCCACTGAAAGTTGTGCGAAACCTGCACCTTAAAACTGAGCCCAGGCTGCTATCTAGCAAAACACAAAAATGGGTGCAGGCCTGCACGTGTCTGAAAAGGAAAAAACGGTTTTAGAGTAAATAGCTGGACAACAGGTTCAATAGGCTGCAGTAGAACCAAACAAGAACAAACTGGAGATGGTCTGAGAGATATTCATTTGTTGCTGTTTACCTGACTTCTCCAGGGAAGGCACACAGACAACACAGTCTTATGGCTGCTAAGATTTTCTGGATTCCCAGCTATGAGGTTGGAGAATCACTTTGAGCTTGCAGTTGGGGAGCTGCACTCAGGACCACCACCACCCGCCGCCCCGCATTGCAGCCACCTGCTTTTGCGTGTTTCGGCCTCCTTCTCTATCTTGTCTGAAGCACCAATTCTAGATAGCTGAAACCAGTCACCTAAGCTCTTTGCAAAGTGAGAGTCTCCTACAGGCAGCATTGCCCTCGGCACTCCTCCCTCTGTGTGTAGGATGCCTTTCATCCTCCGAGTTCAGAGCTTATGGGCATCCCCACAGAATTGCACCTTCAGAAATTAAAAGCAAATACGTCAAGTCCAAAATGTTCTGGGCCTCCAATGCAACATAATGCATTTTAAGTGGTTGTGGGTTAATGGCTGTTCTATGGACATGTGCCAGGCATGAGGCATTTCCACTTCCTGGAACAGTCTATGAATGTGACATTCATCGGCTGTTTCTGCGACAAACACTTGTGGTTGTTTAATTCCCAGTACTGGGTTCAGACATCACCCCATTCCACATTTATAAGTTTTTTCCAGGAAACCAGAAGCTGTTTGCGTGAGATAAGCACCCCACAATTTATGGGTTAATTGACCCACAGATTTCTGCTGGATGTTACCATTATATCCAAGCACAATTACTGTCTGTATTGCATGCACATGTATAGCAAAAGTTACAGCTTTCCAATGACTTCATGTTTTTACATATATATGAAATATAATGATTAATGTCTATCCCTGTAAAACAACATTTGTTAAAGGATTTGCAATAC